ATAATACATAAACTATATTATTATTGTTATTTGTGTTACATAAGTGTTTGTGTTTTGTTCATGTTGTTGTTGTTGCTCCTAGTTCTTTCTATGGTTGTGGTGAATAGGCAAAGTGGAATGACCGATCAATCTCTTTCGCAATAACAAATATTCCCATAATATTGCCATTGAATATTTTTTTGCGTTGCTTTTATCGGTTATCTATTGATGCATACGAAATCCACACCCGTTCTTGGTGTGAATCGAAATTTGTCTACTTTTTTTTTATATTGCGAACGAAGAAATTCCAACCCGATGAGAGAATATGGAGAGATTTTTAACACTGATTTTTGACGGTCATTCAAATGTCACGAAGAGAGCAAATTTCTTGAAAGCACACACACACACACCATTTTAGAATCGCTATTCAATGCACAAAAGTCAAACAATAACAATGGCAAAAACCATCGATTCGACTATCTTCGCATTGATAATAATGTATCGTTATTTGATACGATTTCCTTTTTTTCAGTCAACGTCATCGCACACACTGTCTCGTTCTCCATTGACAATTCGTGATTTTTCAACAGCAATTTTCTGTCGCACATTTTCAAGTGTCAACTAGAAGAAGTGTAAATGTCCCATAACCAGAATTTGACTACTTAGCGCTTCTCTTATTTTTCTACCATTTCCATTACAGACGCCTTTATGTGTCTTTTTCGCCCCAAATTACATAATTCAGGAAAACTTTTGTGTATGTGTGTGTGTTTGGCTTTTTCCCCCCTGTTTTCATCGACATTGTCGCCTCTGCTTTTGTCAGAGGTGCTATTTTTGTCTATTCGTATATTTCATACCGTTTTTTTGCTTGCTTCTTTCATTTGATGGCAATTGTCGTTGATTTTCCGCTAAGCGACTCAAATTGTGAGCAAACGTTTGGCGCGTGAAGTGGCTGCGAGGTGTATGTGTATCTATCTCTCTATGTGTATGCGTGGTCGTAGGGAAACAGTGTAATCGCTATTATTATGTGCGTTATCAAACCATCAGCATTATTGGCTATCAGAATTGTTGCCGAACATGATGATGGCACTGTTGCTATTGTTTGTTCAGCTTGTATATTTGCGCCTTTGTTCATCCCCCAAAGCTCATTTTCTGATGTGCAATCTGTTAGAACTCCAGAACTCCTCTCTATGTGTGTATACATATTCGACATTTCTTCGTCAGATTCGAGCTTATTTTCGTTTCAATCTCACATTTCAATTTCACATTGTTTTTTTTTGCTCTCTGTCTCTTCGGCGTTTGTTATTGTTGTCATTGGTATGTACGAGAGAAAGGAAGAGAGAGAGAAAACGGCACGGCTCGTCTTCCGTATTTGATTTTCTTTGATTGGTGACATAATAGCAATTCGATCCGCACTTTGGGCTTTTAAGGTATTTTTGGCATGTTAACCACGTATCTTTCCATCGCCATTAAAATCACAATTACTTATTCTAGCTTCACAAAACATTCGCATTCCGTTTGAAATGTCTTTATTGTCTTGCTACATTAATTTTTTCGCTTGTGTTCAATGCTTCGAACATCGAAATTCTAGACAAAAGAGAAACATGAATGCGCTCAGACAGTACATTATTTGTTGCTGGTGCTGGTGCTGGTGTTGTCGTGTGGATATTCACCGAGCGCTAAAATTGCGTAGCGTTGGAGAGAAAGTTGAAAATCGAACCGGTGGCGATATGAAGATGTGTTTCTTTCTGTTGTGCCCTCAAACCCAATATCAAATGCTATCGAGAGTTAATATGATAATTTGAACGACAAGAGATAAAAGCCATGACTTACAATGTCGTGTTATGCTTACAATTTGGTGCAATAGAGTAATGGCAACGGGTATTTATGGCGATGGCAACACGGTAATAGCAACAGCAAACTGTAATATAGCGAAAGCGCGAGCTATTTTAAACCGAGCCAACGACTGAAATGTGGACGACTCAAAATGTTCATTGCACCATGAAAGTGGAGTGAGTGAGCGAGAACAAAAATAAAAAAAGAACTAAACATAAGGTGAATGGTAACAGCGGGAAAAAAAGGTGCGGTTCTTTAAATAAACAGTGCGCACGAGAGAGAGAGAGAGAGAGAGAGAGAGAGAGAGAAGGAGAGAGAGAGAGAGAGAGAGTGAGAGATATTGTATTGGGTGCACACGCAGGTACGCGCGATTTTAGTATCGACAAGAGCATTATAAATAAATCAATTTGAATTAAAACGTAAATATTGAAGATAATATAGACGGTTCGATGGCAGGAACATTCGATGTCAGCACATGATAAACAGCTCGATATTCCATGTGGACACATTGGCCATGGAAATGAAAATGCAAGCGCGCGCGCGCGATCACTCACGCTCGCCAACATTTCAAATGCACCAGAGTGATGACACGAGTGCTATGGTGTGCGTTAAAAAAAAACAACAACAACGAACCGAGCTCTGGGAGTCTAATTCACTCTCGTTCTCGCTCTTTCTCTAACTATCTCCGCAATGTAAAGATGGATAGAAGAAGAAAATGAATGATTTTATCAGTGTAATTGATATGCGCATTAATACACGCAATGCGCTCATAAAATGGAGTGGTCGTAATAGAAAATTAGAGACACACAGAGTGAGTGAGTGAGTGAAAAAAAAACGTGAACAAAACCGTCAAAGTCCCGTACCACTGTGAAAATGGTAAAGATGTACGCGATTTTCTATTTGTCGTCCGGCGACAATCGAATCATAATTTACCATGTTCTACCTCCATTTATTTATCAACGTTTCACTGTTTAAATGACAGTCGACGCCCAACGCAAACGAAATTAATTTGCTGCACCAAGAATTACCGATTATGGATTGTGCTTAGAGTGAAATGGCTCAATAGCAGCCAATGCTCTTCAATAACATTGACTCTGTTCTTGCTATTCGCATAGCGAAAATTGAGATTTGTCTGAAAAAAAAAATTATTTAAAATTTGTCTAGAATGAAAAATGCAAAACATTGATAAATGGATCGAACAAAGAACGGTCAAAGTCACCAAAACACAAAATGAAATGGATAACACAAAAAAAAGCCGAAATGGAATAATGAAAGAGAATGCTTTGAAAGGAGAGAAAAAGAAAAAGAACGATGAATTCGCAAAAAGAAGTCACATGAGTGTGTGCTTTTGTCGCTTAAAAATAGGAAAAAAACCAGTGCGCAATAAAATGAACTCAAGATCTCTTTTGTGATTGATGAAAACAATCGAACAAGCGTCAAAAAAGTGGCAGCAAACAATCAGAAGAATTCAAACAAGAAGCAGAAAAAAACTTTCTGAAAGCAACAAGAACTAAAAGTCGAGATTATTCGTGCAAAAAGAGTCAGCATACACATACACATACACATACACACACACACACAGAGAGAGAGAGAGAGAGAGAGAGAGAGAGAAAACAAGAGAAATATTTAAATGGAAAAAATTTGCAAAGCAAATTTGAGTGAATTTATTCATTTGACTCAGCGCGACTTGACTTGCATTGGTATTGGTAATCGAGTGTTTGGTCGTTCATTCGCCTTCCTACTAAGCAAAGATATCCGCGAGCGAACAAAAATTGCGTACAGAAATGGTGTTACACACCGAAAAAAAGAAGAATAACACATAACAACAGCAGCAGCAGCCGCTCACAACCGAATCCAGGAGTGCACGAGAGAGCGACAAAGATGCACATACTTCACATATGATGTTATTAAATTCTCGGTTGCCACAGATCAGAGTGTGCGAGAGAGAGTGTGTGTGGTTGGAAGTAGTATTTGTGTTTGCGTGTCTGATTTATACCATGTAATAAATTCGCTCTTTACTCATTCCTCTGCTTCATCTTCTTTTACTTGGCTTCATCTACTGTTTGTTTAGCTTCGCACACCGCATTTGATTCTAAAAATAACTCTTCGGAATATTTCAATGTGCTTTAGCAAAAGAAGAGAAAAAAAACAGAAGTAGCTAAAGAACAAAACCGAAGAAGAAGAAGAAGAAGGAAGAGGAAAAAACACGCGACATCATCATCAAATGTGGCAGGTACAATGAACACCGCATCCACAATTGGAATGAAATAAAACTAAGAAAATTTATATTTAAAAATCAATCGAATGAAAGCGAGAGAGAAAGAGAAAACGAGAATCATTTCGCTTGGTTTGACGAATCTTTTCTACATATTTCGTTATCGGCGTGCTTTTTTATATATTTTATTTTCATTTGAAATCGCCATGCTCAATGCTCAATAGACCAGCAAATGCGTAGTATAAACACAACTGTTTTGTATTTACGTTCGGTGCTTGAGCACATGTGTTCTGCGTCACTTATGTGGAACACGCACAGAGAGTGAGCGAGGGCGAGCGAGAGAAAGAAGGGAAAAAGCGGCAAAGGTATTTTGAATCACGATGATCGATTTCTGCATCATTAACGTTGTGCTCATTCCCGAAAACGAAAGAGCAAAAAAAAAAACAAATCGAAGCACCTTCGACACGGAACCACATGTTTTCAGTTCCTATGTGGAAACGTCCATTGCTCGATGCTTGTTGTTTAGTTGAGCGCGGTTTTATGGCGTTTTGTGTTGTGTTTTCATCGCGCACATTCATTTAGATTTCGGCTTTCTATGGCTGTGATTGTCCATCGCTGCTATTTTTTTTTCTTTTTTTAAAAATTTATATCAAAGTTAGACCATAGTAACGACATGAAAAAAAAAGACTTGGCTCAATCGTGCGCGCATTATATTACAGGTGAAAGAACTTATGTCCTTCAACAAAGTATTTCTTCGTATGTTCTTTCTTCTTCTTCTTCTTCGGTTCTTTTTTACTTTGCTCATTCTCGTTTTTTTCTCACTCATTCGTGCCGATGGATAGACTTTACATACACGTAACAAATACATGCATTTAACAGCAAATGCTCAAACCAGAACTCGCTCAGCGTTATGAGCAGCGAAACTCTAGTGGCTTCTTCTTATTATTTGATTCTTTGTTACCATTATTCTTACCGTACCGCGCGTCTTTTTCCATCGGGTCATTGGTGTTATCGCACACGCACACACACATTCACATCCGCACGCTCATTTTTTTGAATTTAGTTTTGTTTATTGTTTGCTCTCTCGATCTCTCGCTTCGTTCTTGCTGGCAGTTTCACGGCTGTGGTGGTGTGCGTATTATGGTTATGTCTTATGGTTGATGACGTTTTCTGTGAGCAAAATACAACAAATATAATTTATTACAGCGAGAGGATTATGGTTTGACGATTTTACACATTTTTTGTACTCTCCTTGCGTCGCACTATCGCTGAGGCAAGTGCGTGCGCGCGATCGCTCATTCGCCCGCGACCACAAACGACAAAAGCATAAAAAGAAACAAAACACTAATAAAAATCTACAACACGAGAAGAATGTCTCGCTTGTTCTCATTGAGAACATCAATAGAGAACAATGATAATAAAAAGAAATATTATCTTTTACTACACTAGGTACGCAGGTAATACACGATGCGATCTGCTTACGATTTGTGTATATTTTTTTTTTTCCACATTCAAAATGTTGAAAAACCGCGTCCATAAAGAAAAACAACGAGCATAAAAAAATGCGACAATTACGGCACACTGCAGAGATGAATTCAATCGATAGAAAGAGAGATGGCCACACAAACCAAATTATACTATCAATAAGAATTGTTTCTGAGAAAATCGCCGTTAAAGTAAGTCGGTTTCATTTGTAGTACCTGCTTGTGACTTTATTACGCTGATTTTTCTGCTCTTTTGTTCTTCTTATCGGCGTGTGTATTGCTTGGCGCGCAGCGCCTTTGTCGCCACCGCATTTATGCTTTTTCCTGTATTTTTGAATACACCTTTGTTTAACATTATTATTATTACTATTAGCTTATTTGAATAGCGCGAGTTGAAAGAAAGGGAGAAGAAATCACAGCGTTTGTTGCTTGGCTTCTATTTTCCGTTTTCCGCGGGTGTGTTTGTGCGCGGGCGTTCTTTCATTCTGGCTGTCGTTATTTTGAAGAGAAGAGAAAAAAAACAAAAGCACTATTTTTTTCCGAGTGTAATAAATAACTCTGGGCTATTATACCAGAGAGTCAACTGTGTTGACGGTGAAATTTGTGTTATTGCTGCTTCTGTTGCTGTTGTTCTTCATAAATTGTGTTACACACCATTTTCGTTTCAAGCTGGAAAAACGGTGTTGAACAATACACCGCATTCGAATGACTTTTGTTCGATTTTCGGCATGAAACATCCTGGATGGCATTTATACTTGCAGTATCGCAAGATTGAATATCGCACTGGTATATTTTCTATTTTGAATGCCATGCCATGCTTTGATTTAATGCCAAACAAAATTCCTACATTATCTTCACGTAATCGATTAAAAGACACGTTACGGGAGACATTTTTTCCCTCTGTGTGTATGTGTAACTATCTTTATCTTCCGTTCTCCACCTTTCTCTGTGTCTGTATCTCCGGGTCCATTTATACTTCCATATGGTATTTAGTATTATTTGTATTGCTCCACTTCAAGCAAGATAACAACATCGATGAATTTCATATATTGTACATTGAATAAATGTTTTGATGGTACACAAAGACCCTTCAATACATTTCCCGTAAATCTATTTTATGCTGATTTTTCGAGCACCCAACAGTAGTCTCAATCATCCAACAGCAATAACATCACTGCCACCACCACCGGCAGCAGCGGCAGCATTCCATTGAACCGAAAGCACAATATTGTTGTTATTTACACAAGGAAAACGTAATTTTTCCCGCTTTTGTTTGCTTAGGTTTTCTAAATCTGACATGAGTGCCACACACATGCATCAACCAAGTCATTTATTATTATTATTGTTATTCAAAAGGTATGCCATTCCAAATGAATGCCAAGCTAATTGAATTGTGCACGGCTTAAGTTTTATCGCAGTTGAAGTTGTGCACCACGCAGGGAATGAAGCATTTTTACTGATGTTTTACCATCAATTTAGTAATTGAAATGACTGATTCTCTTTTCTGCCAGAACACGTGATATTTGTCATGCTTTGTGCCGTTTGTATGAGTGTGTATGCCGTGTGCTACGCGACAACACAAATCTAATTCATTTTTTGGTCACATTTAGTGCTGTTTGTGTGTTTGTTTTGCTTTGGCACTTTTTCTGTTTCCGTTTCGATTAACTAAATTCGTTTCGAGATTTTTTATACGTGTCTAGTTTAATCGCCCTCGAAATTATTGGGATTTCTTTCCCTTGGCTTTCGCTCTCTCGTGGTGTCCTTTTTGGAATGTTGGTTGACTTGTTCTACCAAAGAGCAAACGAGAAAAAATTGCTGATGAAAAATATGCAAGGGGAAAGGTATTGTACGGCAGCTGAACTGCGTACGCGGTGCAATCAATGAAACATGTGGCAAACGACTAAGAAAATCGATATAATTCACTTCCAACGACACATCACTTGTTTTGTCGAGTGCCAAGACATTGACTTAGAAATGCCGCCGAATGAAAAGTGACTGCAGTTACGAAGAAAAATTATACGCCATGAAGTATAGAACATAATTCGCGACGTTAGCAGAAAAATGTATGCCATTTCGATGACCGAGAGAGAGAGAGAGAGAGAGAGTGAAAAGATGAGAATAAAAAACAACACGTATACATTTTCTTGACAAAAGCAAAGAAAAATCCATCACAGACACATTGTTTACCCTTCTTTCTGGTTGGAATTTTCATTTTCTTTTATTTATGCCCAACCTCATTCCCAGTCGCTCTCGTTCTGTCGTCCTTTTTTCCTCGCATCCACTCACTCTCTCTTTTTCTTCGCCCGAAACGAATGTTTCGCTTTCGACCATTTTACTTGTTCCACTTTTTCACTTTCAATGCGAAGAGTGCGAAAGAAAAAACAAATCAAATTTCACTGGAGCAACAGAAAATTTCAAGTCAAATTGAACTGACAAATGGAAATACTTTTGTTTGTTGAGGCCTAAAATCATACGCCAGACAACAACTCTCATGGGGTCGCGAAACGCATAAATCGTAAATATCATTAATTTTCGATATCAGTGTATACCGGCGCTGCTACTGTTGTTATTGTTGTTGTTTTCTTTTCGGTTGTCAACGACGCCGACGACGAGCACTTATTCGACGGCGGTTTCTCTCGCTTGTTCCTTTTGGCAAAAGGAAATATTTAGTCGCTTTGCAAACCTTTCGAGCGCATAATGATACAGACGAACACGATTTGTGCGTAAATGGGGCAATCGCTGACTCGATGGAACGGTGAGCATATTAGTGAGTGAGCTCGTTGCCGAAATCACCGAAATTGAGCGACAGTTTAGCATGAAGCAAGCACACAATCGTCATATAATCGATTCAAATTCAATTATATGTTTCGCTTTTGTTATTTGATTTGGCCGTCTGTAGCCACCGACACCGTTGCTATTGTTTCCAATTGCATAATCAAAGAGCGAGCGAGGGAAGAAAATGAAAGAAAGAATCTCGATGTTACGATAAGATATATCGCCTGGTTGCCTTCTGGCCACAAGCAACAAACAGCAAAAAAAAAAACCGAGCCGCTCGCAGAGTAGAAAGAGAGTAAAATCAAGTAGTAGAATGAGAGAGCGACGGCAACGGAAATGTGCGTATATTTTTTTCGGTTGTACTCGGTACGTCTATTTGATGGCGTTTCATTTTATATTCTCATTCGTCTGCACTAGACCTAACCCAATTTTCCTTCTGCAACATGTACACAATATCATTTGTATACGTTTTTATGTGCTAGTATGTGTGCCAGTGCCTAATCTATCTATCACACTCACTCTTTCAATGGGTTGAGTAATTTCTTTTCTTAAACGGAGTGAACCAGACACTCTTTTTGTTGTTTCGGCGCTCGATATATATTCGGTGTGTCGCTCTCTCACTATGTTCGAGTCTTGTTATTCCTCGTTTTTTTTTTGTTTCAGCCCACTTGAGCTCGCTGCTGGATGAGAGCGATTTGCTCTTGTTGCATGCGAACTTTTCACATTAATCGACATTCAGTTCTGGCATTGAATTCGTTTTTTTTTTATTTTCATTGTTTTCTTTGTCTTTTTTTCACTTTTTTTGTGTGTAAAATTTTAATACAATTTTACAATGAAAAATGTGTGGCGTCGCATATATTTTTATTGAGGTAGGTTGACTTGGCTTAGCTTGGCTTGGCTTATAAATAATAATAGCAACACCAACATTTAGTCACATTGAAAAAACAGTTGCGTGTGAATTTCGAAATGGAAATGGAAATGAAATAGTAGAAAAAAACCGTGCACACAAGACCCACCATTTGACAATAGGAATGCAAAGAAAGTAAATATAATAATTTAAAGTAGATGATCTAAATGAATCGATTGCAATGGAGAAAAGGGGGAAAAATGCACGCTCACTGTAAATAGTCAATACGGATAATAGATAATTTTGCGGTTGCAATGACCGTGGACGCCATTTAATCAAATGCTATTAAGTAAACATTGTGTTCGAATGCAACAAGCAACAATGTATTCCGATTTATTGACTTGATTATCATATTTGTGCGCGCTTATTACGTGTATATATATTTTTTTGCTCTCTCTCTCGGTCGGTCGGTTGAGCTATAGAGCTAAAATAAAGTTCCATATTATAATTTCATTTTTCCTCCCATTGTCGCGTTATCACAAAATGCAAAGCCAAATGCAAAATGGAAAATCAACAATCGTAAAATGCAATTCATATTAGATTTAAAAGTCAAACATGCTCGCTGCTCACATACGAAAGAGAAAATGAATCACAGAGCTTCTCATTTTTTGTTTGATCGTGCATGTGGATGTGTTCAATGTTCACGGTTGCTTTGTAGAAGCCGCACAGCTCTTCGAAAATTCGATCGCTTTTTGAAATCGATTACATCTCACCAAAGCGAGGCGGCGCGCACGGACCCATGATTACTAAAAAGATTATCAATGCCAATGGAATACGTAATAATGTCACACGAGTCACAATTGTTCGTCAATCTGAATTTTAAATCTGTGCATTTTCGATAAGAATATGCAATGAACTGTCTGCTAAATAAACATTAAATTTTTCAATT